ATTGATTTGCGTTCGGGGTATCATCAACTTAGAATTAGAGATGTGGATGTACCAAAGACTGCTTTCAGGTCTCGATATGGCCATTATGAATTTTTGGTGATGCCGTTTGGATTAACTAATGCTCTGGCTGCATTTATGGACTTGATGAATAGAGTGCTTCACCCATATCTGGATAAATTTGTTATTGTTTTCATTGATATATTGGTCTATTCTCGCAGTCGTAATGAGCATGCTGAGCACTTGAGGATTATTTTGCAGACGTTGCGAGATAAGCAGTTGTATACTAAGTTCAGCAAATGTGAATTTTGGCTTGATAAAGTTGTGTTTCTAGATCATGTTATCTCTACCGAAGGTATATATGTAGATCCTGTAAAAACAGAGGCGGTGATGAAATGGGAACACCCCTACTAATGTGACAGAGATACGGAGTTTCATTGGACTAACAGGTTATTACCATCGATTTATAGATGGATTCTTCAAAATTGCCCTTCCCTTTACCAGTTTAACTCGGAAGGACTCTAAATTCGTTTGGACTAAGCAATGCAAGAAGAGTTTTCAAGAATTGAAGAATAGATTGGCTTCTGCTCTTGTACTTACTCTTCCTTCACCAGGTGGAGAGTTTACAAGATGACAAAATTATGTGCTCTCCAGTAAGAACAATTTCAAGCTCTCTTGGACTTTTAAATATCACTTCCTCGCGAAAACAATAAACTGAAGCACAATGTTTAGATAGAAAGTTCATCCCCAAAATAACATCAAAATCATAAATATCGAGTGGAATTAGATTTGCTTTCAACTAATGATTGTTCACTTTAATCCCACAGTCTTTGTATTCTCGATTAGCTAAAAGTGAATCCCTTACTGGAGTCGCTACTACCAATTCACTGTCTAAAAGCTCTGGCATCTGATCAGTATAGTTAGCAAATGCATGAGAAATAAAGGAATGTGTAGCACCCGAATCAATTAAAGAACGAGCATTTCTATTAAAAATAGATGACATACCCACGACCACATCTGGTGACTCCTCTGCCTCCTGCTGAGTCATAGCAAACACTTTTCCTTGAGTCTTGGATCGACCCGCCTGGGCTCTTTGTCTAGAAGCACTGCCCTTAGCAACATTAGGTTGTGCGCCCCCCGTCGTTCCCACTGATGTAGCTCTTTGATTCCGGTTCTGTCTGGCCGTACTGATCCCTGGCTGAGAAAATACTATCTGAGATGTTCCAATCTGCTGAGATCGGGCTGGACAATCTTTTCTTATGTGTTCCATCTGATCACACTAGTAACAAACTCTAGCTCCTATGAGACATTCGCCTGGATGAAACCTCCCATAAGATTGGCACTGTGGAAAGCTAAGGTGATCAGTTGCCTCATTCTACCTCACTTCCTGAAATCCCTATGTAGAACCCTGAACATGAGAATAACTCCCCACCGACTGTTGTACAAAACTCTGACTATGGTCTGATCCCTGACTAGACCCAGAACTCCGATACTTAGATTTAAAATTGCCAGAGTTAGTGACACCAGGCCAATCCTTTTATGTTATTCTTGGACCTTTCTCCTGAAGTTCCTGTCCGACTGCTACCACCTCGGAAGGTCATCTTTGCTCCTTGATTACGTCATTCTCGAATGACGTCTCAACCCTCAATGCTGCTTCTACCAACATACCAAAATATTGATGCCTATGAGCAGTAACCATAGGTCGAATTTCTGTTCTCGAACCGTCTACACCTATCTCTCTCCTTAGCAACCAAAGCACTGACATAATTGGACAGTTCTACAAACTTTACATGGTATTCAGCAATCGACATAGACCCTGAACCAATCTTAAAAACTCATTTTGTTTCGCATCACGATAAAATGGAGGATACTATGTTTCATAGAAAGCATCCCTAAAAATAGTCCAGGTGATAACATTAGGATCTGGATATCGACATCGAAACGAAACCCACCACAGCAGCTCTTCCCTTCAATAAAAATACAGCAAGGCATAATTTCTTATCCTCTGAATATTCCATCACATCAAATATACTTCCCAAAGTCTTCATCCAGAGTTCAGCATCAATTGGATTAGATGTACCTATAAAAAATTTTGCCCTAAATTTCATAGCCTCTCAATAGAGTTCTCTATCGGCATTGGGTAGAAGGGAAACAACTATTCTGTCGGCGACAGGATTAGGTTGCACCTGAGTCTGGTGAACTGATTATGCGGCCCCACTGGCCCCTCATACATATCTTCCCTCGAAAGCATCACGATTTTGAAATGCTGGATTTTGATGCCTGCGAGTTCTGCTACCACCACGCATGACTTACCTAAAATAATGCATGATATATGAACATCAGATACATGCAGTGTTACTTATAAACTCTTAAGACCATGCTCCGATACCAATTGATACGACCCAGTCTCGAGTCACCCTAGTGGACCCAGGTATGCGTCGATGATGAAGATACTGGGACCCACCACCAAGGCCACATAGATTGTTTTACGTCTGGTTGACTATTCTATGACCACAATATTTCTGTAGAAATTTTGACAGAGTTCCCCCTTTGAATTAAACAAAAATTGAAAACTCAAAGAATTAAAATGAAAAAAATTATCTCTTTCTGAAAAATAGCAGAATGCTCGTGTTTTTCTTATTCATAACATTTTGATCTGCTTGTCGGTGGTTCATAAGATCAACTCCTTGAAAATTGACAGTAGCAATATATAGATGGAGGGGGTATTTTACTCTATATCCTTTTGGTTTATAAGGTTGCTAACCCAAGATTGTTTCAAAATAAATTTGAATGTCTTTTTTCTTTGAATTTCATGACAAGGAGTATAATATTTTGACCATCTCCGAACAATCGTTACAATATCTTAGGATATGTCTCTATATTTCCTTCACATGTTGCTAAATGTAGAGCTGTTTTATTATCATTTCTTTGTGCAATTATGTATACAATAGATTTATCCATATGTAGTAATTCCTTAGCCACAATGGAGAGCACTACATCCAAAATCATCTACCCTCTTTATTGAAATTGGAAGTTTTTCAACAACTCTTCCACGAATTCTGCAATTATCAAAATCATGTGTTGAAGAAGTAAAATGATAAATATCAATATCCTTCTAATTTTCTATTGAATAATAAAAATATTGCGACAAAAAAAGAACATCACAATAAAAATATTTTCTTATTAAAGAACGAAAGTACTTGTACTAATAAAATTAAAGACTTTTCTATTTATATATCATTAACTAACGTACACGGTGAACCTTGAGGGGTTGCTCAATTGGTCAGGCCTTGAGTTTGCTCCTCAGTGGTCACCAGCTCGAGCCCCCTCAGGGCCACTGAGGTGAGTACTCGACTGTAAACTTCAGGGTTCCGTGAGATTAGTCGAGGTGCGAGCAAGTTGGCTCGAATATCCACAGTTATCAAGAAAAAAAAAGTACATGGTGACCGTAAATGAAATTAACTCAGTTATTCCATTATGTGTATTCCACACAAAATTTGTCTATTATGAACAGTGGAGTTTTCAGTCTCATCAATAAAAATATCTTCCTATTCTAGAACAAAAGTACTTGTAATAATAAAATTAAAGACTTTTCCATTTATATATCGTCAACTAAAGTACACGGTGACCGTAACTAAAATTAAATCAGTTATTCCATTATGCGTATCCCACACAAAATGTCTCTTATAAATAGTGGAGTTTTCAGTGAATTATTCACTATATTTGCAATTTTTGGGTAATCCCGAAGTATTATTATAACAACCATTTTCGGCTGCCCACTCATTGTTTCATGCAATGAAGAATCCCATTTTCTCATTGATAGAATTTACGTCGTCAACTCAACATTTTGATCTGAACACTCTGTCCATGTTATCATTGTTGATCTGACAACAAATTTGTCATTTCTTACTACTGTAATATGAAGTGTTGAATTTTCATCGGAATCTACTTCAAAGAGCAAGTACTCATTTGTGTTGAGGATTTTTTCGGTACATCCCCAGGGGTCAAATATGCAACAATGTGAAGTGGAGTATTTTTGTTTGATGTCAGTTAGTTGTTGAATATGTACTTTCAAAGCACTAAATTCGCTTTCTTGTGCAGCTCTATGCAATTTATGATTCATCTGCAAATGTGTGTAAAGATAGTTTTGTGTTAGAAAATGAGAAGAAGGAAAAGAAAGAAAAGCAACTTAATTTCGTTAATACATACACACAACCAGGGCAGGAAGAGGTAAAGAGTGACTGGAGTGTGATTATAGATCATGAAAATATATGAGGAAAGGAAAAGGAAGATTTTGACAGACTTGAGAAAAATGGGAGAAATTCAGATTCTAGTGGTACAAGGGGTTGGTTTTTCTGCTTCTGTGGTTTCTCTATACTTGGATGCAGCTGTGTTCTGCTGCAGGCAAAGGCTTGCACGGTTTTATGATACTGCCATGATGCTTGTTACACTTGCCATGTGATTTGCGGTGGTTGCTTTAGCGTGTTTGCTGTAATAGAACATACGGTACCACTGGCAATCATAGAATTAGTCATCTGCCTTTTATGGTTTCCCGTCTTCTGCTACACTAGGAATTTCACGCAAGCGGCCTCTTCCATGAACTTGTAATATTTGTAAGTTTTCTTTGTATAACTCTCGATCTGTGTAATGTTTATAAGTTTTCTACACATCAGCAGTGTCACTCTCGATTTGTGTAACCTGATATTCATTATGCTAGATTAGAATTTCGTTTTTGTTAATTTTTGTTGGTTTGGTTACTCTAGTGGGTGCTCACATGTCTTCTAAAGATAATTAATTTATTTATGTAGTGAATAGAATCAATTCATATTTGTACTAAAGTGCTTTGTTATGTGCATCATTAAGATGATTCCTTTTATGTGGTCGATGCAGCAGCAATTGGCAACTATTGAAGCATATGCACTGAAAAAGCATGTGAGAATGTTTACTGCATTTGTTACCTGTGTATCAGCTGAACTAATCTTTAGCCCTTGAACTGAAATTGGTGTACTCATTGGTATTTGTGCCTTCTTGAAGGTCTATGTTGTTGATTTCATTGCATTTGTAGAACCATAATAGAGGTTTGAAACAGAGAAATATCAAATTAAACAACCACTATAAATGCTTTTTCCTGCAATAATTTTCTTCTATTTTATGTTTGTACTTTTTACTAGTTTTTCTCTGGAGAAATATTTATGGCTTGCTTGATTAAGTGGACAGGTTCCAGCGGGGTTGAAGAAGAAGCTCATTGCTTTTATTAAGGCTGTAAGTAGGGCTGTAAATGGATCGAATATGGATCGGATCTGCCTATATCCGATCCGATAAGGAAATTTATCCGATCCGATCCGATAATCCAACGGATATTTAATTGCTAAATCCATATCCGATTTGCAATGTTATCGGATAT